TCAGAACTGGAGTTAATCTAGGGATGTCCGTCCGTCTGTCTGTCTGGCTGACTGAGTATTGGATTTGGTCCAAACTTGGTACATCGTAATATTTTTGTCAAACTTAGATCGATTTTGGAGTTGGACAATATCAGTCCACTTCTTCTGGTACATCCCACACAAAAGGTCGAAATTTTAAAAAAAATATGTATTTTCTGCACAGAAAGAGAAACGATAACCCGATTTTGCTCTAACTATGCAAATCCTAATATTTACGTTAGTACTACGTCAGGTGCGAAAATGGTTCGCTCCATCAAGTACCTCCCCCACAAAGGGTAAACATTTTGTATTACAATTCTTATAAAATGTGATGAAAGTGTCCGATTGTCTTCAAATTCCACACATCCCAATATTTTTATCAACCCAAGGTCTGGTGCTAAGATGGAATACATCGGCCAACTCCTTCTGGTTGGTACATCCCGCACAAAAGGTCGACATTTTCAAAAAATATATTTTTTACATCGAAAGAGAAACGATAATCCGATTTTGCTCCAACTTTGAAAATTCTAATATTTGCGTTAATTCTACGCCAGATGCGAAAATGGTCCACTTCAAGTACCTCCCCCACAAATGGTCAAAATTTTGAATAATTACATTTCTTACAAAATGTGATGAATGTTTCCGATTGTCTTCAATTTTCACACATCCCAATATTTTTATCAACCCAAGGTCTAGTATTAAGATAGAATATATCGTTCCGCTCCTTCTGGTACCTACCCCCCAAAATGTCGAAATTTTCAAAAAAGTGTTTTGTGCACAGAAAGAGAAGCAATAATCCAATTTTGCTCCAACTATGCAAATCCTAATATTTACTTCAGTGCTAGCTCAGGTGCGAAAATGTTCTAGGTCAGGTGCGAAACCGATATTGTCGGTCCACTCCATCAAGTGTCTCCCCCACAAAGGGTAAAAATTTTGAATAATTATAACTTTTATAAAATTTGATGGACGAATCCGATTGTCTTAAAATTTCACACATCCCAATATTTTTATAAAGCCACGATCTGGTGTTTAGACGGAATATATCGGTCCACTCCTCCTGGTACCTCCCCCACAAAAGGTCGAAATTTTGAATATCCATTAAGCTCATAAAACACGAAATTAACATCCGATGCCTAAATTTTATCGAGATCGGTTCAGATTTGGATATAGCTCCCATATATAACTTCGTCCGATTTACATTTTATTGTGCACCAAACGTCTAATATTTGTCCAAATGGGATGGAATTTGGCACTTGCGACCGAATTGAGTCTAGAAGCTAGTATGTCAAATTTGGTGAAGATCGGTTGAGATATAGCTATAGCTCCCATATATATTGTTCATCCGATTTGTTATATTTGTTACCCACAGCCGTAATATGCACTCTGTAACAACGATATTCAGGGAAATATATCAAATACAGCTCAGAAATATCTCTGCCAAAATTCATCGAGATCGGTTCACATTTGGATAAAGCTCCCATATATATCTTTATCCGATTTCATATTTAGTCCTTCGAACTTTAAATTATAATTATAATCATAGTGTGTATGATTGAATTCTCCCATAAAAACTTTTAATTATTATGTGGAGCTCTACTTAATTAGTAAAGTGGTGTAGGGTATCATAAAGTCGACCCGCCCGACTTTAAGACTTTCTTTACTGGTTCCGATAATGTACATTTGTGGGTTCATAAAATGATGATTTATAACGATGATTTCAATATAATGCAACATCAGATATTTCTTGACTACATTCGCCAAGGCATTTCAATTCGTCTAATTATTTTATTTCTAATCTGAGTCTCAAAATAACATCCGACATGTGTGTGAAGGTAATTAATGAAACGTTAAATTATTATTTTTATGTCTGGATTGTTTTTTTAATGGGATGCTGTTCGTATGGTCATATTCATACATCCACATTCGTATATGTATGAGTACACATGTATGAACGAACGGTCGTTAGAACTTCTCAAAACGGTTGGCCAACTCCAGACAGAACAGAACAGAACATAAACATAAAAACAAAATAAAACGGAAGTTAATGCGACAATGCGCATACGTAGCAGCAGCGGCAGCAGCAGCAAGAACAACAACAACAACATTTTCAAAACAAATTTGTTGTTGTCATTGTTGTTCCAAACAACTTTTTTTCTCGTCATTCTAAATGGCATTTGTTTGAAACCATGCCATTGTTGTTGATCGGTGTTTGACGATGTTGTTGTTGCATTTAAATGTCAGCGGTAAATATGGCGCCTTTATATTCTCACAGAGATTTAAACGAAAAATGTGTGTTTTTATGAAAAAAAAAAAATCTCAAATACATGAAACAATAAAGAAAACATGAGCGAGAGAATGAATTCGAAAACAATAACAACAAAAAAACAAATTTATAAAACTGAATTGCATGAGAGATTTCAAGGTCATTGCCAAGCAACCAACAACCACCGATGGCAATGTGTATGGAATTCAACGCATGTTACTCATTTGCAAACCTTATGACGACGTCCAACGTACCTACAACATCTCGAAACAAAGCCAAAATTTCGAGATTTCGTTTTTATTTTTTATTTTGAACAATTAGACAAAAAAATGGAGTTCATAATTAAATTTTAAGTGTGCAGGGTTTGGGACAATAGGGTGGGGATTGAATGCAAATGGTAAAATCTAATCAGAGACTGCTTTAATTTGAGAACAACAAACTTTTCTGAGAAAATATTTAGTTCTCTTATTGAAAAAGGGAATATTTTTCTTTTTGAGATTCTTGCCGTATAGTCATGCAACACCTGCAACTCCAAGTGGTAAGAATTTTCCCCAGTCTTGGAGTAAACATAAATCTAACAGAGTTTGTTGTATAATAGCTTGAACTCTCAAGGCAGGGTGTTTCATTTATAATTCTCCTACTTCTAAAGAATACGGGTACTTGTCTGAATAATTCGGAAAGCCGAATGAATCACTCAACAGATGAGGCTCGAACATGGTCAATATTGTTACATAGTGTCTTGCACGATGTACCCATAGAAAATGGAAACAAGTAAAAAAGCAGCTAAGTTTGGAAGGGCCGAACTTTTAATACCCTCCACCATTTGGAAGGAACTTCAAAAATTTCAAAAAACTTCCGGAAACTATTACTTAAATGAAATCTGTTATATGGAGACTTTACGAAGACGTGGACCTGCCTACGAAAGTTTTTTGTCATAAGCGGTAGCACCCATACCAAATTTGAAACAATTCTTGTGAATGATGTTGCTAAAGTCACCAAAATACCGAATATCGGCATGTACCGTCATATGGGGGCTATACGAAGACGTGGACCTGCATACAAAAAATGTTGTCATAGGCGAAATTTGAAATAAGTCCGGTAAATAATGCCGGTAAAAAAAACGAAACAAGAAAAATAAAATCAGTAAGTTCGGCCGGGCCGAACTTTGAATACCCTCCACCATTTTTAGTCAATTTCATTGAAAAATGAGGCTAAAATCTTAAAAATGCCTAATATCGGGAGGTACCCTTGTATGGGGGCTATACGACAATTCTCTTCCAGGGAGTAAAGTACTTGCAAGGAACTCCTTGAGTTAATTTTAAGACAATTCCATTGAATAATGTGGCTAAAATCATTAAAATACCGAATATAGGGGGTACCGTTATATGGGGGCTATACGATATTGTGGATTGATATAGCCCATCTTCGAACCTGCCTGAAGACAAAATACTGATCTGTGCAAAATTTAAGCTTCCTATCTTAATGCGTTTTGACTGTAGCGTAATTGCAACAGACGGACGGACCCATGGACCGATATTGTCAATTTTCAGACCAGACCTGGCCCTGATAATGGTATTGAAACTTGCAAAGTTTGCATAAAATCGAAGTTTTCTTTCTCTTTCTATAAGGTAAATAATTTTCATTGAAAATTTTAATCATGGCCATTCAAAATGTTAACACCTTTTGTGGGGAGGTACCGGAGGTAGTGGTCCTATATATTTGTTCTTCATACCAGATCATGCGCTAGCAGAAATATGGAGACATGAGAAATCATCCATTTTCATTTTTCGCATCTCACCCAGCACTGATGCCTATATTAGGATTTGCAACGGTGGATCGGATTATCCTTTCTCTTTCTGTGCAGTAAAATATTTTTTTTTTTTTGCGAAAACTTTGACCTTTTTTTTTTTTTTGGGGGGGGGTGTGGTGTTAGCAGAAGGAGTAGGCCGATATTGCCCATCTCCGAACTTTACCTAAGTTTGATAATAATATTACGATGCACCAAGTTTGGACCAAATCGAATACTCCTTTCGAGAGTTATGGTGTGCACCATCAGCCAGCCATACAGACGGACGGACGGAAATCGCTAGAGTGTCTCTAAATGTCCTGAAACGGATTTGGCCCAAAGAGACCTAGGGTCTAAAACCATTATTTCGATGAGGCACGTTTTGGCCGTATCAAATGATATATACCCTCAATAGCCATATGGCTGAGGGTATAAAAAAGACGCCGAAATATGGGGGCCTGCCACGAAAATTTACTTCCGCAGTAAATTTGAATTAAATTTTTCAGAGCCACGAAATCTTTAAAAATTCCAAGTCAGGGGGATACATGCATGCATAGATAGATTGTTTGGATTGATAAAATATCTTCTAAAGGTCCGAAGGCCATAACCAAACCATACAAAAAATCTGTTCAAACCAATCTTATGGGACATTAAGTAATTGCTAACGCCATAACCCTTAGCGTAGATACCAATAGAATTTTGGTTGTCTCTCATCGAAATATTTAATGTGTGTACGGTCATAGTTAGGGTTATGTCTATGGCTAATTAAGATAGCCGACATTGAAGACGTTTTCTATGCACAAAACTTCATCTAAAAATCTCAAAATGTATTGAAGAATCCCAACGAACTTTTGTAAACGAAAGTCTTTCTAAGCGTCTCAAAAACAATTATTTTATTTATAAATTAAAAAATAAAGTTCAAATAACACTTACCTTAAACTAAAACACTCGCCAGTCGGGCGTTACCCGTCCAGCAATCCATAAGACAATTATTTATGTTGGCCGTTGTTGCCGCTGCTCGCTTCTCCCGTAACGTTTGTTGTTGTTGTTATTCTTGTCGTCTTTTTCCGTGTATTACGAGACGTCGGGTTATTTGATTTGGTAGTTTTTTTTTTATAAAAATAAAATTATAAATTGCATATAAATCAAACGGATGGATATTTTTGCTCGCAAAGATTCGGTCTTGTACCAATTTGCCGTTTTTTTTATGAAGAGTCCAAATTTCGAGAGAATGGTAACGAAAGTGAAGCCAAATTCCTCTTTCAACGAGAGTTCTTATTCCGTTTACGAGTTTTATTTGAATTTTGCCAGAGTTTCGCCACAGATCATCAATGAAACGTTCAGAGGGGGGTCCAAGACGTATTTTATTTCAATTTGATGTTTGATTTGTATTTCGTCAAATGCCGTTATTAAAATTTTGAATTTCGATTTTTGTATTGTTCTGTAAGAAGATAGGAAAGAAATAAAAAAATTATTAGAATTTTGCAACAACATTATTAGAATTTTATTTGACAAACTTTTCAGTTCGAAATGCAAAAAAAAAATATTTTTAAAAAGGTTTGGGTGAATAAATATCTGAACCAAAATTTTTGTGGGGTGTGGGGGGAGATGGAGATGAATGCAGGACTCCAAATGGCAGCTGGCGACATCTTACTTCCATATGCAAAGCATATATGTACATCAGAAGCTTTCATAATTATAACTGAATTAATTATGTATATTTCGAGGAGTTTCAAACGGAATGACAAAGCTAATATACCCTTCATAGAATGGTGGAGGGTATTAAAATATTACTTATCTAATTTCACTATAAATCTGAATAAACTATATATCTCAGTATAACAGCTTTTAAGAAAATTTGATTCGAAATTCACATATTTATGGGGAAAATTAATTGATTACGTTTTTGACTCTAAATTTTATACATTTCTAATTTGAGTCAAAATCTCTCTAACTACGTATTTTTCTTTGGTAAAGGTTTTAGAGAAAGGGATATTCGAGATTATATTTCAGTACAAGTCCCTGAACAAAAGAAATTTGTTAACTCATTAAAATTTAATTATACCCTCAGCCATATGGCTACAGAGGGTATATATCATTTGATACGGCCAAAACGTGCCTCATCGAAATAACAGTTTTAGACCCTAGGTCTCTTTGGACCAAATCTATTTCAGGACATTTGGAGTCGATCTAGCGATGTCCGTTCGTCTGTCCGTCTGGCTGGTGCGCACGATAACTCTCGAAAGGAGTATCCGATTTGATCCAAAGTTGGTACATTGTAATATTATTCTCAAACTTAGATCGAGTTCGGAGATGGACAATATCGGTCCACTCCTTCTGGTACCTCCCACACAAAATGTCAAAATTTTCAAAGAAAATAATTTATTGCAGAGAAAGAGAAAGGGAAACCGATTTTGCTCCAACTTCGCGGATCCTAATATTTTCATCAGTGCTAGGTCAGGTGCGAAAATGGACAATATCGGTCCACTCCATCAAGTACCTCCCCCACAAAGGGTCATAACTTTGAATAACTACAACTCTTATAAAATTTGATTTAATAGTCCGATTGTCTTCAAATTTTACACATCTCAATAATTTTTTTATCCAAAGGTCTGGTATTAAGATGGAATATATCGGTCCACCCCTTAGGTACCTACCACACAAAATGTCGAAATTTAAAAAATATATATTTCCTGCACAGAAAGAGAAAATATAACACGATTTTGCTCCAACTTTGCAATTCTAACATTTGCGTCAGTGCTACGTCAAGTACCTCCCCCACAAGGGTCATAACTTTTAATAACTACAACTCTTATAAAATTTGATGTTAGAGTCTGATTGTCTTCAAATTTCACACATCTCAATAATTTTATTTCCCAAAGGTCTGGTATTAAGATGGAATATGTCGGTCCGTACTTTCTGGTAACTCCCCCACAAAAGGTCGAAATTTTCAAAAAATACCTTTGGCACAAAAAGAGAAACGATAATCCGATTTTGCTCCAACTTTGCAAATCCTAATATATGTATCAGTGCTACGTGGCCCATTCCTTCGGAACATACTCCATAAGGGGTTAAACATCTGAATAATCATAACAGAAGTCAATATATTTTTAAGTAATCGTACATTGACTGAGGGTATACATCAGCCGGCAAAACCGACAGATACTCTTTAACTTGTTTTTAGTTTTTGGATTTTGGGTTCTAAACCCTAAATCCAGAATTTTAGTCATATTTTCGTTGTAATTCGCCACTTTTGGTATTCAGCCTTTTCGGAGACTCATATTGAAATTTGATCTTGATACTTCCTTTGAAAATGCAGGTCGCATTTATTATCTGATTGAGATGAAATTTTGCAAGCAATATTTGTTTGGCCCACGGTCGAACACCATTGAAATTGGTGATTATCGGATCAGATTTGGATATAGGTCCCACATATATTTTCAACAGATTTCGCGTTAATTGTGCACCAAATGGCTCATATAAGTCCAAATGACCTGTATTTTGGTACATCCCACCGAATTCAGTCTAGAAGTAAGTACATCAAATTTGAAATGAAATGAAGAAAATCGGCTCAGATATAGCTATAGCTCCCATACATATGTTTCATCCGATTTCGGATTTTAAGTCTCTCACATTCGTAATATGCATTCGACAACAATGATATTTGGTACCAGATATCTTATAGAGCTCGGAAATACCTCTACTAAATTTTAGCAAGATCGGTTCAGATTTGGATATAGGAAATATCAGATCGGTTCAGATTTGGACATAGGAAATATTTTTTCTATTTTTTTTTGTTTCGGCAACATTGATGCAAATATTTTCTTGATTTATATTGGATATAGAGCCATCTTTCCTTTGGTGACTAATAGTGAAATTTGGCATAGAATATTTTGTTTATGACGTCATTCTTCTAAAATGACGCAAATATGTCTTTAACCTTAGAATGGGTCTTTTTAATATAAGAATTCTAGTAAATTTTTAGCTCAACTTTCATAATCTGATGGATTTTCCTGTATTTATTGAAAAAAATCTTAATTTTGTCGCACAGTGTAATTTAATACTCCTAATACTACATCTACTCCAAATCGTAGTTCTGATTTTAAATTTGTGTGTTTGGCTTGTTTTACGCAATGAGATACCAAGTTAAAGCCAAGACAATTAGCTCTTGTGGCCAAGAGCCTTGAAATAACTAAAATCAGGGAGTATATAATTTTTATGAGATCTCCTACCAAAACGTGGACCAATATTTTTGCAGAGAGAATTTCAACACAGTAAGGACTCATAGCACCAAAATTTGGTGAAATTAAAAAAAAAAACAATATCCATTTTTGGAAACCCCTTTGTAAACTCTTATGTTATGCTCACAAAAGATGCTGACAGTGTCATCAACCTTTACAGGAATTGTAAGTTGTTGTTGTTTTGGGTTTTGCATAAAAATATGCCACGGTATGGAAGATTGCTGGAGAGGAAGCATTTAACAGAAGTGGCAACACACGCATACACAGAAAACCACCCAAAAAACAATTTCACCTTTATAAACATCTCAGTGTGGAGGAAAGTTCTGCTGCTGATGTTTATTTGTGGTCACACATACATGAAAGCACACATACTTATATAAATTTACTCTTGCATAGTTCACATTTGTTGTCAATGAACTTTAAATGTTAAACAACAGCAACAGGATGCAGGATACAGCCAGCCAGTACTACTAGAGAAGATGAAAAACAACGTTTATACAAAGCTAACCTCAACCTCATTATAACGTGTTTCAGGAATAGAATTTGAATGAATGCATATATGTCATAAACAGGTAAAAACGCTGTGAAGTTCGTCCCAGCTGAACTTTTAATATCCTCCAACATTTTAGGAGGAACTGGCAAAATAATTTAGCGGAAAATGCCCCTATATATATCAAAATATCGAATGTCGGATGGTACAGTTATATAGGTGCTATACGAAAATGTTGACCTATATATACAATTATCTGACAGAGAAGGCCAATTGCGAACTTCAAATAGAAATTTTATAATAATTTCGTTGAAAAAGGTAACTAAAATAGGAAAACCCGAATTTTGGAAGGTAACATTTTATGAGGTATCATTATATGACCATACATGTAATTTTCTGTTATAGGAGGTAGAAACCATTACGGACTCCAAATACCAAATTTGAAACAATTCAAGTGAAAAGTGCGACAATCATCAAAATACCGAGGAAAAGTTTTAAACCAAAACGTGGACATATATGGACAGTTCTCTGGGAACACAAACTCCCAATTTACAGCAAATTCGGTTCAAAAATGGTGAATAAAAAACTGCAACCAACTTCAGACTGCTGTCATTTCTGAGCCACTCGTCCGATAACTGTTAAAATTATTCCAATGACAACTCATTATGTTGTTAACAAGAGTACAAGAGCATTTTTCTGAGAGTTTTCCAGAAAAAAAATATTCGTGATGGAATTCAAGGGTGATAGTGGGATTTCTTTATATTTGGCTGGAAAACCACAAGTGGCTATTAAATGCGAATAAATCTTTTGTGTCTCGTACCATCGCTCGTTACCGTGATATTGGTAGCGTAGCCCCACGTCAAGGAAGTGGACGGAAGAAAACAGCAACATCAACAGAAAGTAAAGAAGCGACTTGATCGAAACCCGCGTCGCAGTGGCCGAAAACTGGCTCGTGAGCTGAACATATTGCAATATTCCATTCGGCAAATATTGAAAAATGAGCTCGTAGTAAAGCCATTGAAATTAAAAAAAGTACAAGAACTTACACCCCAACAGAAAAAATAGACTTAAACGAGCTAAATAGTTGCTTCGCTTGGCCGAAAGTGGTAAACTGCCGAATTTGGTTTTCTCTCTCCGATGAGAAAACATTCGTTGTGCAGCAGTTTGTAAACAAACAAAATGATCGTGTTTTTATTTACCAAAGAGGTCAGCTGAAAATGTGCACCTTCAGTTGGCCACCAGAACTCAAGCGTCGGCCATGGTGATGGTGTGGGCCGTCATAACAGTCGAAGGACGCTCTCCGCTCGTATTAATTGACCGTGGCATCAGAATAAATGCCGAATATTTTCGCGAAAATATTCTGGAGGGTGTATTAAAGCCTTGGGCATGCAAACATTTTGGCCGCAGACTTTAGAAATTCCAACAGGACTCAGCACCATCGCACTCAGCACGAAACACCCAACAATGGTTACAAAATGAGATTCCTCGCTTCATTTCCAGGGTACAAAAATCTCCGGACACCAATTCGTTGGACTATTGTGTCTGGAGTATTTCGGAAAGTAAAGTTGGCACTAAAAAATACCAAAGTGTCGATCACCTCAAGCAAGCGCTTCGCCAGGAATGGGCCAAAATACCACAAAAGCAACATTCGGGCAGCTTGTGACTGTTTCATTGGCCGTTTGAATGCCATAATTCGTGCCAAAGTTGACC